AGGGGGAGGGAGGGAAAGAGGGGGAGGGAGAGAGAGGGAGGAAGGGAGGGAGAAGGAGGAAAAGCTATAGATTAGAAGCAACTCAAGAGATATACTGACCAATTTATTGTATACATTTGTTTTACTTCTGATTCAAACAAAACAACTTTAAAAGCCATTTATGAAACAACCAAGAAAGTATGAATACTGGATGGTCGATAATATTAATTTTTTAGGTGTTATAATAAACTATGCTTAAGTTATAAATATAAAAATGTCTTTACTTCCCAGAGTAAATATTAAATAATTTGAAGGTTAAAAACATAATATTTGGGATTTGCTTCAAAATAACTTAGGAGGGAGAAGTGGGAAGAAGCGAATAAAACAATACCCTGACAACAGTTGAGGCTGAGTAAGAGATACACGAGGCTTCATCACTTCATTTTGTATACACTTAAAATCTTCCATAATAAAAAATTAAATAGATGTATGTGTGTGTGAAATTTTATTTATTTATTCATTTGCACTCAAAACTGAGCACATTAAAAAACAACAAAGAACCTCAGCTTTATTGGACAAAATAAAATTTTTCCTAAAAACTACAACTGCCCCCACTACACACTATTTTACAAAAGTGAAAATTCTGAAAACAAGTTAAATATAACAATGTTTTAACTAAAGGTTGCATTTAACACCTATAAAAGAATAATTGTTCTTCTTTTTAAAGAGGTTTGCTTTGTTTATGAAGGATTATCTATAATCTGGTTGATCATGAGCAACATCTAATTTACGCTGAGTTACTATTTAGGGCCACTAAGTATAGTTTTTGCAAGGCTTAAAGGGACCCAGTGCAAGGCACAAGTAGGAGCTGAAAAGTGGCCCAGATGCCTCCCTTTAAGCAGTACACCTTAACACAGGATGTGTCAGAAGCAGGGGAACCTTTTGTCCACCCAGATGGAGCACAAAATATAGATTTAGAAATCTTTAGCATAGCAGTGACGAATGACACCAAGAAGGCTTCACTCAGAAAATTACAATAGATCAGAAGCTGAAATACATCAATATTTAATGGTCAGACAGATAAAGAGGGGCCCATAAAAGAAAGCCTTAAGAGGCAACAATGGAAAGAAAAAAAGAAAAACACAAACAGAAGACTCCGATGTCCTAGAAACCTAGGATCTGCAGCATTTGAAAGTGGTGGCGCTGAGCAATATTAAAAAGCTGCCCATAGGTTGAGTAAGATAAAAAGAAGCAGACAGGCAAAAGCATCTCTGCCAAATGAGGAAGTATGGGTCTTTTGATCAGCTAAAATAAAGTTTCCTAAGACCTATGGGGGAAAGAAAAACAAGGACAAAAATTAATCCAACAAGGTCTAGTTCATGGAAAAGTGTGGAGTTTCCTTTCAATTCTGCTTTCCCCTCTTCATTTTCTCCCAGTGGTTATCCCCCCCCCCC